ATCATATAGTAATGGACGTCGTCGTGTCTATAGACCCCCAGGAACGAGATATGATGAACGCTATTGCAATAAATATAAACAATCCGGTCGCTTTTCCGTTAATGTTTGGGGGTGGGTTAGCAGCAGAGGACGTGGAATTTGCGCAATAGTAGAAGAAAGATTAAACGCTAATGTATACAGAAGGCTTCTAGAAGAACTTATGCTCCCCTCAGTAATACCAGTTTTTGGAGAACGAAACTTTATATTTCAACAAGTTTGTGCTATTATTCTTTTCATTTTTTTTTAAATAATTATAAAACCCATTGCAGGATAACTGTCCAGTTCATAATGCCCGACTGGTAAGTCGGTATTTGCAAGCCCAGGGAGTCAATGTTTTGCCTTGGCCCTCTAGGAGCCCAGATTTAAACGTAATTGAAAATGTTTGGGGAGAAATGCAAAAATATATTTATCAAAATGATTTTCGACCTAGAAATCCACTAGAATTACAAGAAAAAATTGTCGAGGCATGGGAAACTGTAACACCAGGATATATGAGGCAGTTAGTTGCTTCCATGCCTCGTCGACTACAGAATGTGATCGATGCAAATGGTGCAATGACAAAATACTGATCAGTTGAATTGGCATCTTCAGTATAATGTTTTAGTTATAATTCCAGTTTTTTATTTTCTCTTGAATAAAGTTACGTCCCTAATTTTACGCTCTCGTTTATGCCTTTATCTTTCCGACTAATTTCTTGAAAACAATAAATAAAATATGCGAAAATGTTTCACAAACCTAATAAATAATACTTTTGGCAGGAAAAGCCCAACTTACACGTTTTAAATTTCGAATTTTCAAAATTATCTAGTTACCTATTGTGTCCCAGTTTTTTTTGTCCAGCGATGGTAAGTCTGGCTATTATCAGTGGCGCAGCATTTTTGAAGAAAAAAAAAAAAGTCAAATTTGACAAATTTTGTTATTCGAACGCCCATGATTTGAAGATATATTTACAATAGAGAAAATTATCGTGCACTTTTGGGGGGCCGCAACTGTACATAGCATTCTTTGAACAACACGATACTGAAAAACATGTTTTTAATTTGTTAAAGCAATAAGTACTTTGCAGTTAAGCTCCGCCCCCTTGGTTCACGGCGAATAAAAAAAATCATCACAATTGAGACAGGGCGGGTGGGCGGGCTTACATTTTGCCTTTTTGTTTTAATATGTTGTGTAGACTTTTTTTCATAACATGAAACTGAAAACATGTTTAAAATGGAAAATTTGTATAAGGAAATATCGATTTTGCCCCATAATTGCACAATTCATATTTCCTTGCAAAAATGCACTATTTTAACTACGTTTTAAGTTTCTTGTTGTGAAAAGATTGTTGTGTATTAAGAAAAAAAAAAGGAAAATATAAGCCCCGCCCACCCACCCTATCTTAATTGTGATGATTTTTTTTATTCGTTGTGAGCCAAGGGGGCGGAGCTTAACTGCAAAATCCTTAGTTCTCTACGAGAAATTAAAAACATGTTTTTGAGTGTCGTGTTGTTCAAAGAATAGATGTACAGCTGGTCTAAAAAAAAACGGGAAAAATGACAGTGACATGAACGTCATATTTCCATTGCTTTTCATTGATTTATGAGAACTTGATTTGCTAATCTTTTCCCGTTTTTTGTGAAACCAGCTGTATATTAAGAAAAAAATAAAGCCAAAAATTAAGCCCCACCCATACCTGCCCTGGTCTAAATAGCAATGAAGTTTTCATTCGTTGGCAGACCTAGGGGCGGAGCTTAATTGCCAAATCCATATTTCCTTACAAAAATGTATCATTTTGAACGTGTTTTAGCTTTCTAAAAATAAAAAATCATCACAATTGAGATGGGGTGGGTGGGCGGGGTTAATATTTTTATTTTTGTTTGTCATGGAATTTTTTGAATTTTTAAATGAATGTAAGTCTGGCTATTATCAGTGGCGCAGCATTTTTGAATAAACAAAATATCAAATTTGACAAATTTTGCTAATCGAACGCCCATGATTCGAAGATATATATACAATAGAGAAAATTATCGTGCATTTTTGGGGGGCCGCAACTGTACATAGTATTCTTTGAATAACACGATACTGAAAAACATGTTTTTAATTTGTTAAAGCAATAAGTACTTTGCAGTTAAGCTCCGCCCCCTTGGTTCACGGCGAATAAAAAAAATCATTACAATTGAGACAGGGCGGGTGGGCGGGCTTACATTTTGTCTTTTTGTTTTAATATGTTGTGTAGACTTTTTTTCATAACATGAAACTGAAAACATGTTTAAAATGGAAAAATTGTATAAGGAAATATCGATTTTGTCCCATAATTGCACAATTCATATTTCCTTGCAAAAATGCACAATTTTAACTACGTTTTAAGTTTCTTGTTGTGAAAAGATTGTTGTGTATTAAGAAAAAAAAAAAGGAAAATATAAGCCCCGCCCACCCACTCTATCTTAATTGTGATGATTTTTTTATTCGTTGTGAGCCAAGGGGGCGGAGCCTAACTGCAAAATCCTTAGTTCTCTACGAGAAATTAAAAACATGTTTCCTTCTACTTGTCTTTCCATGTGGCTTTCTCAGTGTTGCTGTTCTCCTCATCCCTCTTTCTCTCCAGTCTCCTTTCTCCTCTTTTATTTCTTTTCCTTCGTCTTTCCCCAACCACTTTTAACTCTTTTCTAGTTTTCCCCATCTCTTTTTTTCTCTCTCTTCTTGTTTTCGACCTCTTCCTATTTTCAAGCCCCCTCTCTTTCCCCTATTTCACTGTCAACCCTTATGTTCTCATCTCCCTTTGGCTTATCTGTCGTATCTGTCTATTTCGCACTCTGTTCCTACTTAATCTTTGCTCCCCTTCTTCCTTTATTTCTTCTCCTCTGCTCCCATTATCCTACCTATTTTGCCCTTTTTTGTCCCTCTCTCTTGCTTCCCTTTTCGGGCTTTTAAAAGGTATCCACTTTTAGTTTCTCTAGATTTTGCAGAATTTTTTATCTATGTGTTTCAACACTTTTCTTTTTCACTCTCTTTCGCCTCCGTTCTCTTTCGCTTTCTTTGTTTCTTTTCTGGTCCTTTTTACTCTGTCTTTTTTCCATTTTCTTTAACAATCCCTCTTTTTATTCCTGGCTAACCCCCCGTTTTCTCCCGTTCTTTTCTCTCAATTTTATTATCTGCCCCTCTCTCCGTGACTCTATCTCTCATTTCTCCCTTTATTTTTTTTTTCCAATTATAGTGTTTGTTCTTTATTTTTGGTGTTTTGATGTCTTTTTTACTTCTCGAGCGTAAGCTATAATTATTACTGAAAAACATGTTTTTAATTTCTTGTAAGGAAATGAGTATTTTGCAGTTAAGCTCCGCCCCCTTGATTCACGGCGAATAAAGAAAATCATCACAATTGAGACAGGGCGGGTGGGCGGGCTTATATTTTGTCTTTCTGTTTTAATATACGTAGTATTCTTCGAATAGCATGATACTTAAAAACATGTTTTTTATTTCTTGTAAATAAATAAGTATTTTGCAGTTAAGCTCCGCCCTCTTGGCTCACGACGAATAAAAAAAATCATCACAATTGAGACAGGGCGGGTGGGCGGGCTTACATTTTGCCTTTTGTTTTAATATGTTGTGTAGATTTCTTTGCATAACATGAAACTTAAAACATGTTTAAAATGGAAAAATTGTATAAAGAAATATCGATTTTGCCCCATAATTGCAAAATTCATATTTCCTTGCAAAAATGTACTATTTGAACCACGTTTTTAAGTTTCTTGTTGTGAAAAGATTATGTGTATTAAGAAAATAAAGCAAAATATAAGCCCCGCCCACCCGCCCTATCTCAATTGTGATGATTTTTTTATTCGTCGTGAGCCAAGAGGGCGGAGCTTAATTGCAAAATCCATGTTTTTGAGTAACCTGTTGTTCAAATACGTCCTGTAACTTCAATTTTCCATGTCGGGATTAAGTCAATAAAGAAAAACATGAACACAAAAAAACAGCATAGAAAACAAAAGAATTATCACTAAAAAGTTCTCTTTTGGAATTCAAAATTTTCTGTAATCAAACCAGTCTACAGTATTCTGTCTAAGTGTTTAGGGATTATGGAAACCCGCAGTGAGGAGGCGGAACAGTCTAATACCTCTCGCTGCAATAGGAACTTTCGACAGTTACTTCATACATTTTTCTTTAGCAAATAGTTTAATAGTGAATATTCTAATAAGTTGATTATAAGGCATAAATAATATTAACTTCAAATTTAATTTAGAATATCTAATAAGATCGTCAACTTCTTTTTAATTAATTTAATCCACTTGTACAAATTTTGAATTATTCTCAGTCTCAACACTAACCATCTTGCTTAAAACTGTCATTATGTATTTATTACTAAAGTCATTTCCACCATAAACATTCTAAAATTCAAATTAATAGAAGATTAAGCGACACTTACTTCTCTATGTACAAACTTGGAATTGCGATTTTTTGGTTGAAGTTGGCCATGTATTATTTTAATAGTGGCCCCATCTAGCGTTGTGGGCGCCCATCTTAATTATTTGTCGTATTGATTTGAATGGAAATTAGGTTATTGACCTTGGCAACGATGTTTATTAGAGCATTGCGCTACACTATAAAAACGGAATACTCACTAAAACGATTAAACAATTTGTTTTATCAAACAAATTTTCTCCCATTATATCAAACGCGCGTTATACCAATTGGGACTTCGCGACAATGCAACTCACGTCAAACGAAACCCAAACATTACCTCTCTCTTTCCAACTAACGCATCGATTGGGATTTATCAGATAGTAATCTGTCAATCAATACAACTAACCAAAATTCGGGTCAAAGAGAGTTCTGGGCGTGGAAAAGTAACAACTCTTTTATATCCCTCAGGTAATTCCCATTACAAACCTTAGTAACCTCAAACGAAGTATTAACCTTCCAGTTTGACACCACCCACGTTACGCCCATTTCACCCATGACTTAAATCACTCATTTTCCAGACGTCCTCAACGACGAAAACCACTACAATGACAACACCAGCCAAACTCTACGGCAGAGATCTCAGTGAATACGACGAAATAGATGTAGACGAACTGTTAAATAAATTATCAGCTGAAGAAATCAACATCTTAGCCAAAGAAGTAGACCCTGATGTAAGTAATTGATACTTGTTTCGTGCGACTATTAACGCATATTTTAGGACACATTCTTGCCCCCGTCACAAAGGTGTAGTTACGACTGCGAGAAAGAACCCACGGGCCCCCTAAATCGGAAGCAGTTGATTGACCACATAAACAAACAAGCAATTGAGACCCCTGACAAGCCGGAACTTAAACCCTATGTGGCTGGCACCGTTAGAGGAAAAAAAGTATGTAATGGGGGGTTGTGGATTGGGGTTGAATTTGTGTGTTGTAGTGGATACCACCGCCACCCCCACTCAAAGAACAACAAGCGGATGAACAGATTGCTGTGGATCTGGGGGATGAGTATGAGCAGGCGTTGTCCTTGGCAACACAGGAGGAGATAATCGATTTAGCTGGTTAGTAATTTACATTTTTATCAATTCGTTTTTAACTGATTAATAAGTGCACTTTTAAATAAGAATGACGTATGATTTGAAGTATGAGAGGTAGGCAACCAGTCGTGCACGCGTGTATTGTTGGTTGCATAAATGATCATGGAATCTGGGTCTCGCGCTAGATTTTCATCGTTCTAGACCAATTTGGGGTCAAACACGTTCTTGTCTAGTGAGAGTCTGCACTTTTTGCATTTTTATTAAGTTACAATGATTTCTCCCGCCGGGTTGATTTTTTTAATGTTCCAATTTTAAAATAACGCTAGAAAGTTAAAACATGTTTGTTTATATAGTCTAGTCGCAACCAAGACGACTTTCAAGGTCATTACGTACTGGACTGTACTTGACAACTTAACCTCACTTTTACCGGTTTTTCTCTCTGCAGCCATCTTGGGCTTCCACTCCATGATGAACCAGGACCAATACCACGCCTCTCTCTTAAACAAGAACCAACCCGTCGGCCTGGGCTGGGACGGCATCACGAAAGCGTCAAAACAAAAAATATACCCTATGGAACCACCAAACTCGACGGATCCGGACGAATCGATAAAGAAAGTCCAGGATGACGATCCCAAATACATCGATCTCAATTGGAATAACATTAAAGTAAATTAAACTTTGCGTTCTGTTAAGTTTTAATTGATTGAATTGTAGAACATATCAGATGAGAAATTCGACAGTCTGTTTGAAGCTTTAGCCAACAACACCCATCTGGAGACGTTGTCGTTAGCGAATGTGGGCTTGACGGACCGAGGGGTCGAGAATTTGGCGCAGGCTTTAGAAAAAAATAATACTATAAGGGTTGTAAATGTAGAAACTAACTTGATCTCGCCTACTGGAATCGTACGGTTAATTAAGTCGCTGCTGAAGACGAAGTCGGTGGAAGAGTTCAGAGCGTCGAATCAGGTGGGTGGGAGTTTTTTTCAAGAAATAAATTGTTTCCGTTAAATCTCGCCAGTGCTCGGATTTAAATTAGTAGGCGTGAATTTCTCAGAAATCTGGTTTTCTGTAGGAAGCGGCTAAATTATTGAGAGCTTTTACGGAACTCGAAATTTTTCCACTATGTAATTTGGTTTAGATAACGTTGTTAAAACGTGTCTGAGAAGAATTTTCAAGCTAAAAATCAAACAATGAGTCATTAGTTGTCGTTACGGAATTAACGAAATAGCAGAGGTGTTAAACGGGAGCCTTGACAACGCGTATGACTTTTTATTATTTTTTTCAGAGATCACAAGTTTTGGGTAACAAGATAGAAATGGAAATAACACAATTAATAGAGAAGAACACGAGGCTGTTGAGGTTGGGTTTGCATTTAGAATACAACGATGCCCGTCACCGCATCGCCAGTCATTTACAACGTAACATTGACACAAGTAAGTCTCAATCTAGCCCCGACACCGATTTCTTTCTTTTTTTTTTTTTCTTTCGGTGGATCCGACTTGATAAGATTTATATTTTATTTTCGATTTATTTTTATAGGTATTTATTTAGTGCTCTTGTCAGCTCAATATTTCGAGGTAAAAATACTCCCTACGTGTTTATTTTGTCTGTCTCACATGTCATTCCGACCAATCAAATTAAACTACCTCACCTTGTTTACGTTAGTGGTTAACAGAGACTCGACACCCCATTAGAAAAAAATCGTCCAACCATCAATCTTTTCTTTAACGAAGCCGCAACGTCGTCTTGTTTTGTTATATATATTTTAATTTGGTGTTGTTTTATTTGTGTTATTTTCCCTTCGATCGATCTTGTAGATTGCCGCAGTGTGAAAGCGAATTACCAGATCACTCTCGGTAAAGACGGCCACGCACTTAAAATCGTGAATACTGATTAATTGTGTCACCAGATGGCGTGAGTAAGGTTTTACCGGAAAACTAGAAAGATTCCGAAAGTTGTTTTGTTTTATGTATGTGCCTTTGCAACTTGCATCTACCAGCAATTGAGGCCTTGCTGGGACATCTCACACTGTACTTTCCAAAGAAACGCGAATAGGGGGCGGAGCTTGGGCGTCCGTGCGGAAAACGGGTCTTTATCGACGCAGAGCTGTCGTGATTTTGTGTGTGTTATTGTGACCTTTCCGGATAAAATCCACAAAGGTCAGGAGTGGCGCAGCGGTAAAATGATTTTCAATAATTAAAACCGACTTGGGGTTTACACAATGTAAAGTTATTCTCCGCTGGGAGGGGGGCGAATCGGTGTTTCATTAAAAGTTTAGCAGTTTGATTTCGAATGAATTTTATTGCAGAAATATAATATGGTTTGATGGTTTCCGAGTTAAGCGAGATCAAAAGGAAGTGGATATTGAAGTTTAATAATTTGATGCATAAAAGTTTGCGTTTGAAAAGGTTGTTCTTTTTCGGAGTTTGAAACTAATAAAATGTTGGAATAAGTCAGCGTAATGTTAGTAGAGTGGGATTTAATAACCCACACGAAAAACTATTGTTTAAAATCGGTTCGTGTTTGGATTGGCAGATGATTATAAAATTGTGTAAAAGCCCCGAGGTGTATTGGGGTTGCGAAATGTTCGATACAATTTTTATTCGAATGAATTGAAAGGGCATTAGTTGATGGGAATGTCGGTTTATGGTGTTAAAGAGTGGATGCATCAGATAATTGGAAATTGAAATGGCTGTACACGATAAGCATGCTTTGGTGAGGTAACAATTAACAATAAAATTTGTTTTAGTCCCTTCCAAAAAATTGATGACGTCATCGTAGAATAATGCTCAGTACATTTTAATAGTAAAGCTTTTTACTTCTTGAGCGTAAGCTAAGATACGAAAAAATCTGTCTGTCTGTCTGCCGTCAGTCCGAATTTTTATTAAACAGAAACTATTGAAGCGATTTCAAATTTTAATGTAGATTATTTTTTGATGTCACAATTTTTCGTTTTTTCATTTCCTTCATTTTTTTCAATGTTTCTTTCGATTTTATAATTGTTGAAATTTTTAATTTTTTCAATTTTTTCAATTTTGCAATTTTTGGATTTGTCAATGACCCCATTTTCTGATTTCTTTAATTTTCCATATTATTTCGATTCAAAATATTTCGTATTTTCGATTTTGCACTTTTTCGGTTTTTAAGTTTGTCAATTTTTCAGTAGATTTTTCAATTTACGCAATTTTTGGAAAATTAGAAAAATTGAAGAATCGAAAAAATGACAAAATTAGAAATTGCAAAATAGAAAAGTGGAAAATCGAAAAATTGTAAATGGAAGAACCAAAGAAAAGAGAAATTGAAACATTAAAAACTCAAAATCGAAAAAAATAATGAATCGAAAAATTGGAAAAAAAACGAATCCAATCGAAAAATTGGAAATCCTAAAAATTATAAAATCGGGAATTTATAGAATCGTTAAAATTAAAAAATGAAACATCGAGAAAATAAAAAAAAAATCCGATTTTTTTATTTTCATTCTATTTCCTGCCACAATTTTTCGTTTTTTCATTTCCTTTATTTTTCAATTTTTTTTTTCGATTTTATATTTGTTCAATTTTTAATTTTTTGATTTTTCAATTCTTCGATTTTCCAATTTTAAAATTTTTCAAATTTCTCAATGATCCGATTTTCCGATTTCTTTAATTTTCTTTATTTCGACTTTACAATATTTCGTTTTTTCGATTTTGCACTTTTTCAGTTTTTCGTTTCTTCAATTTTTCAAGTTCTTGATTTCCAATTTTTAGATTTTTCAAAGATTTCATTATATTTTTTCAATTTTACAAGTTTGCAATTTTTCCATTATTTTATCGAAAAGTTGAAAAATCGAAAAATTAAAAATTGAAGAACCAAAAAAATTGGAAACATTCTAAAATCGAAAAACAAAAAAGGAGAAATTGCAAAATCGAAAAGTGGAAAATCGAAAAATTGTAAACTGAAGAAGAAAAGAAACGAAAATTTGAAACACTGAAAAACTAAAAAATGAGAAATTAAAAATGGAGAAAAATTAGTGAATCGAAAAACTGGAAAGAAATAAACGAAAAACTGGAAAGAAATAAACGAAAAATTGAAAATTAAATGTGGAAAAATTCAACAATTTTCCCGATTTTTTAATTTTCATTTTCTCGATTTTATATCACAATTTTTCGTTTTTTCATTTCCTTCATTTTTTTCAATTTTTCTTTAGATTTTATAATTGTTAAATTTTTAATCTTTGATTTTTCAATTCCCCGATTTTCCAATTTTAGAATTTTTCAATTTTGCAATTTTTGGATTTGCCAATGACCCCATTTTCCAATTTCTTTAAGTTTCCATATTATTTCGATTCAAAATATTCGTTTTTTCGATTTTGCACTTTTTCGGTTTTTAAGTTTCTCAATTTTTCAGTAGATTTTTCAATTATCGCAATTTTTGGAAAATTGGAGAAATTGAAGAATCGAAAAACTGACAATTATAAATTGCAAAATCGAAAAGTGGAAAATCGAAAAATTGTAAATGGAAGAACAAAAGAAAACAAAAATTGAAACATTAAAAACTAGAAATCGAAAAAAATAATGAATCGAAAAATTGGAAAAAAAAACGAATCGAATCGAAAAATTGGAAATTCTAAAAATTATGAAATCGGGAATTTATAGAATCGTTGAAATTAAAAAACGAAATATCGAGGATAATAAAAAAAAAATCCGATTTTTTTTATTTTCATTCTCTCTATTTCATTCCACAATTTTTCGTTTTTTCAATGTTTTTTTCGATTTTATATTTGTCAAATTTTTATTTTTTGATTTTTCAATTCTTCGATTTTTCAATTTTAAAATGTCTCAATTTTACAATTTTTTGATTTCTCAATGATCCGATTTTTTGATTTCTTTAATTTTCTTTATTTCGACTTCACAATATTTTGTTTTGTAGCTTTTGCACTTTTTCAATTTTTCGTTTCTTCAATTTTTCAAGACCTTGAATTCCAGTTTTTAGATTTTCCAAAGTTTTCATTATATTTTTTTGCAATTTTTCCATTATTTTATTCGAAAAGTTGAAAAATTGAAAAACTAAAAAACGGAGAAACTGAAAAATCGAAAAATGGAAAATCGAAAAATTGTAAACTGAAGAAGAAAAGAAACGAAAATTTGAAACACTGAAAAACTAAAAATCGAGAAATTTAAAACTCGAGAAAAATTAGTGAATTGAAAAACTAGAAAGAAATTAGCTGAAAATTGAAAATGAAATTTCGAAAAATTCAAGTATTTTACCGATTTTTTAATTTTTATTTTCTCGATTTTATATCACAATATTTTGTTTTTTCATTTCCTTTATTTTGTCAATCTGTCTTTCGATTGTAAAATTGTTCAATTTTTTAATTTTTGATTTTTCAATTCCTCGATTTTCCAATTTTAAGATTTCTCGATTTTGCAATTTTAGGATTTCTCAATGATCCGATTTTCCGATTTCTTTAATTTACTATATTTCGATTTCACAATTTTTGCTTTTTTCGATTTTTAAGTTTCTCAATGTTTCAGTTTTTCGTTTCTTCAATTTTTCAAGTTCTTGATTTCCAATTTTTAGATTTTTCAAAATTTTCAGTATATACTTTTTCGTTTTTTAATATTTGATTTTTCAATTTTATAATTTTGCAATTTTTCCATTTTTTTTGAAAATTTGAAAAATCGAAAAACTGAAAAAATGAGAAATTGCAAAATCGAAAAGTGGAAAATCAAAAAATTGTAGATTGTAAAGAAGAGAAGAAACGAAAATTTGAAACACTGAAAAACTAAAAATTGGGAAATTTAAAAATTGGAAAAAACCAATCGAATCGAAAAATTGGAAATTCTAAAAAATTATAAAATTAAATATGAAGAAATTAAAAAAAATACCGATATTTTAATTTTCATTTTCTCGATTTTATATCAAATCTTTCGTTTTTTCAGTGTTTCTTTCGATGTAACAATTGCTCAAATTTTTAATCTTTGATTTTTAATTTTTCAATGTTACTATTTTGCAATTTTTCCATTTTTTTGCATTCGAAAAGTTGAAAAATCGAAAAATTAAAAATTGATAAACCAAAAAAAAATGGAAAAAAATTGAAAAAAAAAACTGTAAAATGAGAAATTGTAAAATCGGAAAGTGCAAAATAGAAAAATTGTAAATCGAAAAACTGAAGAAACGAAAAATTCAAACATTGAAAAACTAAAAATCGAGAAACTTAAAAATCGAAAAAAATCAGTAAATCGGAAAATTGGAAAAAAACCAATCGAATCGAAAAATTGGAAATCCTAAAAATAATAAAGTCGGGAAATTATAGAAATTTAAAAGTCTAAAAATTGTAAGTTTGAAAGATCGAAAAATTGAAGAATTTAATATGGAGAATTTAAAGAAAAAATCTCGATTTTTTAATTTTCATTTTCTCGATTTTATATCAATGTTTCGTTTTTTTCATTTCCTTTCGATTTTATAATCGTTCAAATTTATAATCTTTTCAGTTCCTCGATTTTCCAAATTTAAAATTTTTCAATTTTGCAATTTTTGGATTTCTCAATGATCCGATTTTCCTATTTCTTTAATTTTCTGCATTTCGATTTTTAAG